TTTTAGAGCTAACAGTCCATGGAGGCTCAGATACTCTCATTGCTGGCTCAGTGCGGCCTGGGGGTAAAAGCACAGAGTGGATATAATGGAGTAACACTTGATTGAGTTGGAGCACTTGATTGGACCTGCATTTCCTCATGTGAAAATGCTTCACTAAACATAATTTGATTTAGGAATGCTGTGCTCTGCCACACTGTCCTCCCTCTGTGCTCTCCTCCCAGATATCCAGCAAGCTGAGATAGCTGAGATAACCTGTAAGAGAGCCAGCTGAATCCCCATTTTCTGAGATAACCTGTAAAGAACCAGCTGGATCCCCATTTTCTGAGATAACCTGTACAAGAACCAGCTGAATCTCCATTTTCTGAGATAACCTGTACAAGAACCAGCTGGATCCCCATTTTCTGAGATAACCTGTACGAGAACCAGCTGAATCTCCATTTTCTGAGATAACCTGTACAAGAACCAGCTGGATCCCCATTTTCTGAGATAACCTGTAAAGAACCAGCTGAATCCCCATTTCCCTGCCTCTCCAGGCCCTTTGGCTGCTCTGGCTGCTCCCTGCAGCTTTCCCAGTGCTGAACCTCTGATCCCTGACTGGGCTTGCAGCATTCATCCTCTCCAGTGCTAAAACCCTGGTGGTGTGGGAATGGATTTGTAGAGAGTTCTTAAAAAGCACCTTTTTCCTAATTACAAAACACTATAAATGTTTCTTAACCTATCAACATTTTACCACACTATACTATAAATACCTTAAAAGTAATCACCTAAAACTACTCTTTGTAAATCTCACTACATCTTTCATAATTCTATTTCTCTAAAATATTTCATCTTATTTACAAAACTATCCTTTAAAACTCTTTTCAAACTCAATTTCTCTCTCAACAATATCTATCCTCTTTTATGACATTTTTAAATCAACATTTCTTATATCAAAATTTGCATACAGATATATTAGTAAATTATATACAGTACATTATATATATAATTTATATATAAAATTTATATATATAATATAATATATAGATTATATATAATTTATTTAAATATTTATTTATATATTTTATATATTATATAAATATATAAATATATTTTATATTTATTTCAAATTGTATATAAATATATAATTATATTTTTATTTTATATGAATTATATCTATAAATTTTATATATCGATTATATATAGATTGTATATATTATATATTATATAAAAATTATATATATATAATTATTTATATATCTATATATATATAAAGGTTATATTAAAAGGTTCTATATATAACCTTTCATTAAACTTTTAAAACTCTCTACAAATCCATTTCCCACAGGTGGAAGTGGTCAGCTGTGACTGAAGGACTGCACTGAACCAGGCAAGAAAGAAAACAGCTCAAATTAAATGCCCCAGGAACATAATCCCAGCATAAACCTGGAGAGGCAGACAAGGAGCAGCAAATCAGACCTGCCTGAGCTGCTGCAGGTGTCTGTGCCCATGCTGGGGCTGGTGACAGTGACAATTGTCCTGCAGCCCCTCCTGGCTGCCCTGGGTTCTGTGCCATGGGCTCTGTCCCTTCTCATCTCTGTGTCCTGGCCTGGCAGAGCTGTGAGACAGAGAGCTCCAGCTGAGCCTGGCACAGGCCTTGCTCAACTTTCTTTTTTTGTGATTTCCTTCCTTGCTTTCTGTGCACCTGGCAGTGCTTCCTGCAGGCTGCCACGTCCAAACCAAAGCTGGGAGGGAAAACGTGTGCAGCCCGTGGCAGCCCCAGAGCAGGGCTCTGCCCCAGGAGTGTCTCAGCACTGTTTGCACATGGAAATTGGGCTTGTTTTTACACCTGGCAGCAGTGGTTTCCCTAAAGTTTCTCCTGCATCCTCCCTCTCCTTGTGGCTTTTCCAAAATTAGCCCCAGTGGGGTTTGAACCCCAAGAAGGCAGAGCAGGCCAGGGCAGAGAGTTCTCTGTGCTCTTCCTAAAATCTGGGTGTGCTTCACTTCCCCTCAGCCTTTAGCAGCTGAGGGAGACTGTAACTGACAATTTTTGTAGAACAAAACCCACTGCAGCAGTACTGCTGGAAAATGGAATGTGTATTTGCTTTCTCTGTGTACACTTGTATAGTGCACAGACCACTGAACACCCATTTGAACAGACATTAGAGAAGCTTCTCAAAAAAGTAAGAAAAATGGGGAATTCACAGCCCTGGAAACACAACTCTGAGGGGAACAAAACCCCATGTTGACATCACCAGCACGGGTACCCCTCTCTCAGTCACAGGCACCCCATTATTTACCTTTTAGTGCTTTGTGAGCAATGCACCTTTAAAGTGAATCCATTAAAATTTGCATGAGTACTTCGGGTCTGAATGAGAGCAGCTACCTGGAGGTTTTGTGCATTTCCAGTTCAATTGCATTAAGCGCAGTTTGGGTTCACTTCCCTGAGTGGCTCCTGGTGATCTGCCCTGCAAATAAAGGTGCTTTTATCCTTCCCAGCCACCTGGGTCTTCATGGGTTAAAGTCTGGAGGTTAAAATGAGCACTGCCCCCATCCTTTCTTCCTTTCCATTCACCTCCTTCCTCTCTCCATCCTTCCCCAGGGTTTTTCCCTTCCTCCCCAGCCTCAGCCATGGGGCTGCTTGGTGCAGGCAGGGCAGTGGGGTTTGTGCTGCAGCTCCCCTGTGTCCTTGCTTTGTGTTCTGCACCTTTGAGATGTGATGCAGAAAATGTTCTATGAGCCTGTCAGTGGGAAACATTGCTCATTGTCCCCTCCAGTGCCTTGGGCTCTGGCAGCAGCAACATGCAGAGCTCTGCTAGCAAATGAGCAGGATTTGGGGAGGAATCTGAATTCTCTGCTGGGGGAGAGAGAGACATTGGGAGAACCTTCCAGAAGGACTGAGCTGCCTTGGGGCTGCCTCCCATCCCCATCCCTGGGATGTGCAGGGCTTGGAGCTGGGCTGACCCCATAGCTGGGTGCTGGCTGTGTTCCTCCCTCTGGTTTGGGGATGCTGAAACTGCAGAATGGGACAAATCCTCAGAGATGGAATGTCCTGACTGTCCTTACTTTGGGCAGAAAGGCCAGGCTGCCCAAAGGTTTCAGCAGGTTCTGTAGTGCCTGGAGTATTTTCTTGGAGGTTTATTCATCCAGCTGGGCAATAAATAACCTGTCCTTCTGCCCATGGCATGAGAGCAGTGCCAGGCTTTGTCACAGCTGTCACGCTTGGGTGTTTCTGTGGGAACTCGTGAGCTTTTTGGGGCAAAAACTGTCACTTGGACCATACTGACCACACAAGGGTCCTGTCAGCACACCTGGCCTGTGGAACAGCTGTGCCTTCCCTCCCAGCATTGCCCCAGCATGGGGGTTGAGTGATTTCTTTGCCAGCTCTGGGGATGGAGGCCGTGCCCTTGCACAGCTGGGTGATCAAGCTGCACCAAGGGAAATACAGGTTGGATATGAGGAAAAAGCTTTTTACAGAAAGGATCGTAAAGTTCTGGAATGGCTGCCTGGGGAGGTGGTGGAGTCCCCATCCCTGGGTGTGTTTAACAAAGCCTGGATGTGGCACAGGGTGCCAGGGTTTAGTTGAGGTCTTGGGGCTGGGTTGGACTCGATGATCTTTGAGATCTCTTCCAACCTGGTCATTCTGTGATTATCAACAGGAATCAGTATGGGATGGCTCGGGAAGGTTGTTCAGAGTGTTTGGGCAGAGGGCAGCCCCTGCTGGAGGTGCTCGCACCTGAGCCAAAGGGAAATTTCCGTGCGGGTCTGCCCATCTCTGCATCCCCTCATCCATCCCTCCATCCCTCTGGGCACAGCAGCAGCGGGCACCGGGCTCTGCAGGGCTGCTCTGCTCCATCCCTCCATCCCCTCATCCCTCTGGGCACAGCAGCAGCGGGCACCGGGCTCTGCAGGGCTGCTCTGCTCCCTTGCCCGGGCATCTCCGGCAGCCAAACCCGCTCTCAAACCTCCGGGGAGAGAACTGAGAGCTCCTGCCCGGGTCAGAGACTTCCAATATCACTTCTGGCAGGCTCGGAAATTTCCGTGTGGGCCAGCCCATCTCTGCATCCCTCCATCCCTCTGGGCACAGGAGCAGCGGGCACCGGGCTGCTCTGCTCCCCTGCCTGGGCATCTGCAGCAGCCAAACCCACTCTCAAACCTCCAGGGAGAGAACTGAGAGCTCCTGCCCGTGCTAGAGACTTCCACTATGGCTTCTGGCAGGCTGGGAAATCCTGCTGCTGGCTGCCGGGCCGTGGGGAGGAGGCAGAAGCGCTGCCAGGGCAGCCCCCGAGGGGTTGCACAGGGAATGCCAGAGCCGGGTCCTGCCTGGTAGCAGCAGCAGCAGCAGCAGCCCCGTGATGCTGAGCTTGGAATGAAGTCAGCCCTCATCAGCCGAATAGTTTATGCATGAATCGAAACTTCAGACCTGGCAAAAAAAAAAAAAAAAAAAAAAAAAAAAAAAAAAAAAAAGGGGGGGGAGCGTGCGGGATCTGCGCGCTTTTAAAACGCTGGAGCCAAGGAAGGAGGAGGGGATAGAGGAAATAGCAGGAAAATAAGGCTGGGGAAGTGGGGAGAGATTTGAGAAGCTGGATGAGTTGTTGGCTGTGTTGTTGTGAGGGGCCAAGTTCCTTAAGCATCTCCTGGCGGATATTAAGAGGGAGCTGCGGCGGCTGGAGCGTTCCCCCGGACACTCGCACGCTGTAGCTTTAAGACTGTTTTACAGAGGACTCGGGATTTCAGTTTTCCTGCGCCTGCTGGAGTATTCCAGGGAGTTACAGGATTTTTCGGGTCATGTACCCCCTTTTCCTTTCTTCTTCCTCCTTTCTCTTTCTCCCTTACTCTTCTGTTTCATTTCAAAGAGACAAAGCTACTTCAGTTTGGAGCACAAACATATGATCAGCACATGGAAATGTGGTAATTTGGATGCATTCATGATTGCAACAGATTGAAGAAATTAGACCAGACAAAGAGCTTTTTTTGGAAGAGGAGGAGGAGGAGGCAAGGCAAGGAGGGAGGGAGAGTGGGGGAAAGAAGGGGACGCCACCGAAAAAAGGGACGGCCGTGACACGCGGATGCTAAATATATCCCGTAGTAATGGAGAGGGACCGGATTTCAGGTAGGCTATTGATCTTTTACTATGTTATATTCTGCCCCTGCCCTCCTACCTTTCCAGCAGCTTCTGTACTTTCAGAAGAGCAGCCCAGCTCCGGGTGGATTTCAGCCGATTCCTTTATTTATTTCCTTTTTTTTTTCCCTGCAATGCTTCCCTTCTGCATTTTTTCTTTTTTTTTTTTTTCCCTTTTTTTTTCCCATCCTCCTGAACCCTGGAGACAGACGGTGATTCCAGCAGAAGCCAGGAGGGGGGCTAAGGGGGGAAAAGCAAAGTGGGGGAAGCAGAAATTGCTTTCTAGGTCTGGATTTCATTTGAGTGCCTCTCTCTCTCCCCCCCTGGGCTCCCATGTGCGCGGGGGGATGAATGCTGAGCCTGTGAGCTCAGAGCTCAGAGCCGGGCACGGGCAGGAAGGAAAATCACCGAGCTCTTGGCATGGAGACGCGCTTCTGCTCTGAAGGTTGGCTCCTGGCTGCGTGGCCGTGTGTCTGTCTGTGTGTCTGTGTGTCTGTGGCGGAGATTTTGCTGCTTGCCAAAGTATCCTCCCGGCGTTTTTGCCCTCCCAGTCCTGCCTGGCTGGGCAGGGGCTGCCGGCGTGTTCCAGGGCTGCTCCTTGGTTATTCCAGGGCTGTTCCCTGCCTTTTTCAGGGCTGCTCCCTGAGTGTTCCAGGGCTGCTCCTTGATTATTCCAGGCTTGCTCCCTGATTATTCCAGAGCTACTCCCTGCTTCTTCCAGGACTTCTCCCTGCTTTTTCCATAGCTGCTCTCTGCTTCTTCCAGAGTTGCTCCCCAATTATTCCAGGGTTGCTCCCTGCTTATTCCAGAGCTGTTCCCTGCTTATTCCAGGATTGTTCCCTGCTCCTTCCAGGGCTGCTCTCTGCTTATTCCAGGGCTGCTCTCTGCTTATTCCAGAGCTGCTCCCTGAATATCTGAATATTTCAGGGCCTTTTCCAGGGCTGCTCCCTACTTATTCCAGAGCTGCTCCCTGTTTCTGCCAGAGCTGCTCCTTGCTTCTTCTATGCACCTCCAGGCTGCTCCCTGCTTCTTCCAGACCTGCTCCCTGAATGTTCCAGGGCCTTTTCCAGGGCTGCTCCCTGCTTATTCCAGAGCTGCTCCCTGCTTCTCCCAAAGACTGCTCCCTGCTTCTTCCAGACCTGCTCCCTGCTCTCTGCTGGGCTTCACCTTGCTGGTTGTTCGTGGGGGCAGAGGCAGAGCAATGAATAACATTAATAACTCCATTTAATTCCCCACTTTCCCCACAATTCCCGCCCCGTGGTGCATGTCTGAGTGCCTCCAAGAGCTGCTCCCAGCTCCGAGCAGCTGCTGGGGGTGGTGGCATTGCTGCCCTGAGCTGCCCAGGGTGGCTGTGGCTGCTGGTTCCTGGTGGCAGGGACAGGGCACAGGCTGCCTGGTGTCCCCCTGTGAGCAGGGTGAGCAGGGCAGCTGAGGGAGGGGTGGCAGTGTCCAGGCTTGCAGATCTGGGGTGTCCCTCCTCCGTGCCACCCCAGGCCACAAGGGACTCTCATCCTGGGTGTGCCCATCGTTGCTGGGAGGGAAACCACAGCGGCCAGAGGAAGCTCTGGAGCCAGGGTGGAGCCAGGCTGTGGCCAGGGAAGGCTGTTCCCACGGGTGGCCCCTTGCAGGGATGTGCTGAGAGCCCCTGCGTGAGGATTTACCTGCAGGAGCATCCTGCACTCAGAATGGCACCTCCTCACCCCTCTGTCCCTCTCTGCTGCTTGTGCTTTCTGCTCTGAGCCACTTCAAAGCATTCCTGAGAGCTGCCTGAGCTTCAGCAGCTTTGGGCTGGGAGCCTGTGCCACTGGGCAGGGACAGGATGGGGTGACAGGGGTGTGATCCCATCCCTGCTGCAGTGCTGGGGCCAGTTCCTCCTCACAGAGGTGCTGGGCATCTCTGGGGAGAAATGGGATTCCCTGGTGGTGTGATCCAGGGTTTTTTGTTTGGAAGGAGCTCCAAGATGGGGATCTCTGAGCCCTCAGGCTGTTGGTTGTGCAAGGGGCACAGAGCCCTGGTGCCTGGGCTGGCTGTCACTGCTCCCAGGGCATCATCTTTGTGCAAAGGTGCAGGAGCTCTTGCAAATGCCCTGCAGCGATATTTGCAAAAAAAAAAAAAAAAAACAACCAAAAAACTATGTCCAAGCGTATCTGGAACTGGTTTTCCACTGGTTTTCTACTGGTTTTCCACTGGCTTTCCCTGTCGTGAGCAGGGATGGCACGTGGCTGGGCCGGGTGGCCTGGGCCAGGTGTACATACATGTGGTGTGTGCCCTCCTTCAGCTGAGGAGGCTGCCAGGGTGATGAACAGAACTGCTCTGCCCTCACTCAGCAGCTGTGTGGGACCTTGGGAAGGTGCAGAGCATCCTGGTGGTGTTTATGATCCGTGACTTTGGCATGAACTGTGGGATGGGGAAATGGATGGCCTGAAGGTCTGGTCTGTGATCTGCTCACAGGGCCCTGCTTGAAGGAGTCAGCACAGACAGGCAGAGCTGCTCAGCTGCAGGGGAGGACAAACCTTCCAAGTGTGTGGCAAAACTGTTCTGGAGGAGATTCTGGGCACAGAAGTGTCAAATAATGGTTGGAATGGATGATTTTAGGTGTCTTTTCCAACCCAGGTGATTCTGTGATGCTGATATCTCCAGGCTGTCTCTCAGACCCATGGCCCAGAGCGGGTGCTCAGGCCGAGCCCAGCTCCCCCTGCTCCTGCTGGGGTGCTCTGGGGGTGCCAGGGGCTCTGGCCCTGCTGCAGGAGGGGAGCAGAGCTCAGTCCCGGCCTGCAGGGACGCTGGGCCCTGCCTGTGATGGTTTGGATTAAAACAGATCCCTGCCATGCTGGGGGCCCTGTCCCAGTGGCTGCCCTGGCCCTGAACATGCTTTCAATTAGTGCTGTGGGTGGGGAGAGCTGATGCTGAGCCCAGCGTGGGGCTGCAGGGTGGCATGAGGGCACTCCAGGGCGGGTGGGATCTGCACCTAAACTCTTCTTTGGGGTCTGTTTTCCCTCAGCTGCTGGGCTGGGCTTGTGCCCTGGGCTGTCCTGTGCCCAGGGACAGCCATGTCCCATCCCAGGTGATGGCAAACACCTTCAGGGGGCTGTGAGGTGATGCTGCAGGGCTGTGCCAGGTTCAGTGCCAGCTGTGGGGCTGCCTGCTCTGTGACAAGGTGCCAGCTTGCTCTGTGACAAGGTGCCAGCCTGCTCTGTGACAAGGTGCCAGTCTCACTCAGGTGACACCTGTGGCTGCTGGCAGAAGGAACACAATCTCACAGAACCTGTTTGTGTCTCCTAATCCAGTGAACTCATTTCTCACACATTTCTGAGAGCTATGAGAACATGAACAGCACCAGCTCTGGATGGGACTGTTTCTGGTTTGGGGCTGGGAGCTGTGGGCTCTGTCCCTCCGTGCCAGGCTGCGGTGGTGGCAGTGGCCTGGAGATGGCTCTCCTGTCTTTCCCTAGCGGCCTTTTCCCCCTTTGGCTGGCTCGGATCTCTCTACAAAGCTTTAATTGTCAATGCCGCGGGGCTTTTTCCCTTTTTTTAAAAGAAAAGGAAAGGCCTGCATGTCCCTGAGCAGAGAGGGGTTGGTTGCTGCTGTGTGAGAATGGGTGCAGCAGTGATGTGTGATCTCCCTGTGAAATTATTCATATTAAAATTGTACTGGGAAAGCCCATTTGAAGAGTTAACAGGTGATGATGGATATGTGATCTGAATATGTGACTTCAGTGAGTGGCACGTGTTGGGCAGAGCCAGGCATGGGGGCTGGAGTGGCATAGAAAGAAAAGAAAGAGTTAATTAACCCATTGGTGATCACTCTGAACCTTTCAGTTACATCCACTGCAGGTATGTTTATTATGTACAATATTATTATTATTATTATTATTATTATTATTATTATTATTATTATTATTATTGATATATCATATCATATCATATCATATCATATTATGGTTTTATCCATCACCCTGAGCAGCAGGGACACAGCCCCTGATTGCAGGCCGTGGTTTGCAGGGGCTGGGTGGTCACAACAAAACATCTTTGATATTCTCAGAGCTGCCTGGGAAGCACCACATGCCTGAACTGAGAAAGAGGAAAGGAAAGCAGGGTGCTGTTTGTGATTCCTGGAGATGTGAGGGATGTACTTGTTCCTTCATTTTTTTGGATAAAAGTTAATATTCTAAAGGTGATTGTGAGAGCAGAGGGGTTGAGGTTGCTTCTGATGGCTTCAGCTATTTTTCCTGTCTCAGGTTTCTCCGTGTCCCTAGGAAATGGCTGATAAAAGTCTGACATGTCTCTGTTTAGTGCCTTCCCACAGCCTACACCTTATTACCAGACATTTTCCTTTCTCTTTTGAGAACATGTGGGACCCCAGGCTGTGCATTTACACATGGTTCCACCTCCTGTGAGATCCCACTGCACTCACCCAGCCCTGGCACTCAGGGACACCTTCCTGGGTGTGTTTAACCCTCAGTTTGCTGTCAGTGTGTCCCTTCCTGGTGCTGACCCCATCCCTTGCTGCAGTGCCCTGTGAAAACCACCTGTGCCTCACCCCATGCGCTCTGTAGCACCCTGTGCTGGCTGCAGGTCCTGTCTCAGTGGGCAGAAGGTCTCTCAGGGAAGGGTTTGGGGTTTTTGGGGCTCTGGAGCTGCCTCTGCAGGCTCCGTGCTGCTCCCAGCCCCTCTGGCTGCCTGGCCAGCAGATGCATTCCCCCACTTGTCTGAGGCACATCAAGGTATGAAGCATGATCCATTTCCTGATGTCTGCTCTTAAATCTGCTGGAAATTCTGCTCATCTCCATTAAATACGGTCCCACTGTGGGGCACAACTCATCCCCGGCCTGACAGCTCAGGTAACGCTGCTCGACACCGCTCTGCTCAGCTTGGCCTGGAGCTCCTCTGCAGATTTTTATCTTTGCTGGATGACTTGGAGCCTCCCAGCAAGGCGATTCCCATGCTGCTGGGGTGAGGGAGGACATTTCTCATGCAAGTCAGGGCTCTTCC